TKWWTTAWTYRWASAAATTTCTCTCACACATAAAGATATCAAATTTCTAGATATAGAAGCTATCTATTTTAATCTTGAAAATATTAACAGTTAGTTGATAACATTGATTGCTGTGCAAGAATTCAATCGAATAAAATCGTTTTTTTATTTGAAATGATGAACTATTTAACTAGTTAGTTTTGTAATAATAAATATATAGTTTAGCGAAAATACACTTTTACTTAATGATAAAAAAAAAATAAATGAGAAATAAATCAGGAAATAATAATTTTCAACATGTTATTTATTTCAAGCGAATTTGAGAAAGGTAATGATTCATTCCATAATACATTCGTATGCGATAATATTGTCAACTTAACGACGTCCTAACGTAGTCGCTTGCAGTTGTATAACGCAAGTATATTGWAKACGTATAAACTGGATATGAATATTCGCATCACGCAGGAGAATAATGTTTAATAATATTTACAGAGCGAAAATGTAAAATTAATATTAAAGATCTTAAAGACGATATAGATCTAGGAATTAATTAATGGAACGTTTCTTCTCGTAAAAAATAGATTTCCAGAGCACCATGTTGTCGGATAATTTGTTATGTACAATTCTTATAACTGCGCCGCACCATGGGGCGTTCATGTGGATAAAGAAGAAAAAGATTTTGTATCTTACTGCAACTTACGTCGTCATCGTCCATATTTTTAATCTTTTACTACAAATCGACGATGCGAACTATTAATTATCATTATTTTAATTCGTTTTTTTTTATTTTACTTTTTATTATCTTCCGATTAATGGCGAGATACTGCAGAATATTCTAATAATATGAAGTTGACATTAAAAAAAATTTATCGAGAAACAAACAAGGAACAGAAACTGACTATTATGTCGGAAAATTGTATGCCCTTTGCTCGGTCTTTGACAATAAGAAAATAATCGCATTTTCGTATCGCTTGGTAAATATTTCTATAAATGTAGGAGATAAAAAGAAGAAAGAAATATGACGATGAAAAATAGGATTCCATCGCGAGATCTTTGAGTCTACGGTAAATATTTCATTACCGAGCTCAAAAAACCGGAGGTATTCCTTGCTTTAACAATTTCATTTTTCCCAACAGAGTTTTCCTCCCCGTTTTCGGATAAACTTGAACGATGACCAAACGATATCGATAACGGAGAAGATTAATGGATTGTAATTTGAGATCTAATCAAACGGAAATGTCAAATAACGAATTAGGGATACAATTTTACTCGATAACCGTTTCACCATGGAGGCTCGAAATCTATTCGCGTATTTGTATCAACGCATTATTACAATATGTATTTTTTATTTTCGAGAGTCCTTGGTCCTCGGTACTATAGAATAAGTAAAATCACAAGCGTCATAGGGATCCGCGTGGAACCCCGTGGTTAAAATGAAGTGTAAAAAATAGTACTTTTTATATAGGCTTCTATCTGTATATGTGTTCGTGTACGTGGTGTACATATTATGTGTAAATGCGTATGCATAAACACGTGTAAGTGACTTCGATAATACGATTAATTGTATATCGTGTGTATGCACTTATTTACTAAACATTTATATAATATATATATGTACATTTACAACATCGCATAATCGCGGAAAGATGCAACGTCGAAACGTTGAAAACGGTTTTTTTAGCGACGTTACGCAAAGCGTACGCTCCTTATTCTTATATCACATATCGTATATAAGAAGGCAGCACAGGTATAGCATATTTATTTATTTATTTTAATTTTTATATATTTTTATTTTCATTCAAAATGTCTCGCTTCTTCATAAAAAACCTACGCGAAAATAATAATGCTCACACCAGACAGCGACCACAAATCTACATTCTTCTTCGGTTTTTATTTCTAATTATATAGTTTAGTCACTTATCTCGTTTTTAGCGCTAACAGACTATCCGAAGAGTTTTCAAATTCAATTTTACACCGAAATAATACATGGCGGTGTGGCGTGGCATTTCGTTCCATCTTTCAGACGGCATATTTTTTTGCTCCTATAACAATCCAACACTTATTTCAATTTATACGTAAAACAATTTTCATTTCTTTTTTTAATAATTTATAAATACAATACAAATACTTTCGTTTTTTCTCTCTTACAAGTGAATATTCACAAATTTGTAAATAATAGGCTAATACGATAATAATTTTTGTATTTTCTTCTAGTACGGATGCGTATTCGTGCAAACGAAGCATTGCCTTTAATCTTTTCATACAATTTTGTTCTATTTTATTTTTCTCTCAAGAAATGACGAACAAAAAATAATCAAAGATTATTTTCTGTACGTTGTAAATAATCTAAATCATTTCGGAGCTTGCAATCAATTTTCGACTCGTTCGTTTGTTTTAATTTATTTACATATCATGCTTATCACTTCTGCTTTATTTTCTTTTTTTCTTTTTTTTTTTTCGTATCACTTTCGTGCGATTACTATGTCGCTTTCTCCTCGAGACGAGATCGAAAGAAGAAGCTTCCCGTACAGTAGTTGTTGTTTTTTTACTTTTCTCGTTTTTTATTTCCTCATGTTACCCTCTAGTAAACTTATAGTTTAATAAAGTTAAAGAGAAAGATTATTTCTAGTGCGGATTATATCGGGGTCACACGGGGAGAAGTTCGACGTGTAATCTTAAAAAGGACTAGGCGGCACTTGAGCATAGGTACTTGGCTCTCGAGGATCATTCTTTTTGTCTGAACCCAAATGTGCACAGAATATGTGAAATACATGCAATGTTATTTTATTTCTTCAAAATGTCAATAATTTTACAAACTGCAAAATCATTTATTTCGGATTCCAGAAAGTTCGTGCCCTTTTTTCAACTATATGTCTAGTATTTAAAACGGTACGAGCTTACTTGGTTACCTAAAATTATTTTTAATTATAAATTTCGAATAATTTTGCAAGTACGATTGTGTACTATTCTAAATTATTATCTTTATCAAAAAGAATAAATTCCTAAAACTTGAAAAAACATTATTATTGTATTTCTTTGATCGAATACAGATATATTTTTTGGTTATAAATATGATTGACGTTAGCTTATTTATTCACATTTTCTTGCTTTTTAAATTCAGACATCGATTATTCAGCATCGTAAAGACGATGAATGAGAAGTCTTTTTTACTTAACATTTTCAAGAAATATCCGAGTATTATCGTGTAAGGATTTTGTTAAAATTACGACCGTTCCTTACGAATATCTTACTTAACATTTATTATTTAAAATTCCCCACACGTTCTCCATGAAAGTTCATTATCGTTATTTAGTCGATAGCTTCCTTCAATGCAGCCAATTGTTCTTCTCCGAGCTTCACTTTGTCTTGAATCTCTCGAGTATCCATTATCAGCTTCGCTTTCATATTGATGAAATGTTGGTAATCGATGAATTCATCGTCGTTTAGATATTTCGCTAGAATTGCTGATACGTTGATGCTACGCCTATCGATGTTGGTTTTCAGTACCTTTGCTTCTTCCAATTGGTCTATCAGCTTGTCTCGTTTGCCTTCCAGTATTTTCTATGATCGAAAAATAATATTAGTATATTTTATTTTCATTTGAAAACATCTGAATATTTTTTCAAAATAAATTACCGCGTAATCAACTACGTTGATTATAAAGAAGTAAATCAAATGAAAACTAGCATACGGTATTTTGTAGAACTTTGCTAACGGTATAGAAAATGAAGAAAGAAAAATGTAGTTCCATTTGATAGGGGAAATACTCACTCTCTCCGCGTGATCGGCCGGCATACCATAAAGGGCGTTTTCAGCACGAGCCAATCTTCCACTAAGACTAAGAAGGAGGCTAGTAATCTTGCCAACTTCCTCTACGTGAAGTCGATATTTGGAAGCTTCAGCTGGTCGAGCTTCTGCGGAAATACGCATAGCCACTCTTGCACCAAGGGCATCGTTAACTTCACCTTCTTCTTTAACAGCCTCTTGTTCAGCCCTTAGGACCACTAGTTTCTTATCCAATCGCATCATGAGTTCTTCCTGAAAAGCAAACGAATCATCCCGGCCCCACCGATTTCTTCGTTAGTTCAGTGAAACGAGGAGAATTTTGAGAAAGCGGGCCGAGTCTCCTCCGCTTTTGCGGAAGACGAATCGATCTTGGATCGAGATAAATCTAATGAGCTGAACGTGGGCGACCCATAAACTTTCCCCTATTGTCGTTGCTACCGTCTCTGCTACCGTCTCTCCGCTACCGTCTCTCCGCTACCGTCTCTCCGCTACCGTCTCTGTTCTTATATTCGTAACGTTTAAAACGAGAAATTGCCGAGTCTACATATAGTCGAAATATACATATATTCTTATATATATTATATATACAGTTTCCAACAAAAAGAATTTATGAGACAACCTAATACATAAACTTTAGACTTGAAAAATGAAGTTTATACAAAAATGTGTTTATTTAATAATGTTTTCAATAATTCTACAATTCTTGCAGAATTTCAGCCTTTCAATACTTTTGTTTGGTACTGTATATATAGATATATATGTGTATGTAGGATAGAAATACGGATGAAAGTTAGAATGATTCGCGTCTGTCTCGTTAAGCGAAGTTTCACGGACAGTTAGAGAAATGAACGTTTTATTTTTCCAATAAAACTCTCTTAATTACCTTCTTCTTTCTGAGATCCGAATTATCTGCTGTAACGACTGCCGTTGTCGTCGTCGTCGTCGTCGTTGTTGTCGTCGTCGTCGTCGTTGTCGTATCTTCCGATCTTGTTGAATCCTCGACACTTATTTCTCGAGAATATCTCGTCAGAAACCTCGCTTTACCTTCGGACGTTGTGAAATACGCCGAAGTGGATGAAAGCGGACTGCTTGGATCAGATGACGATGGGGTGACAGGAACAGAAGGTATACTTTCGTGTCTGAAAAATAACAAAATAATTACGTAAATCTTCAACTTTGTGTTCTCGTGCAAATGCTTGTTAAATTCAGTTTTTCTGTCTAATCAAAGTCAATATTTATTTTTCATTATCAGAATTCTCGATTATTTCGAGACTAGTTTTAAAAGTATAAAAATTCTAGGCTGAGTAATCGATATGAAGAATAACTAATCGCGATTATGTACACGATGAAGACGCATGAATCAGCGATCGACGAAGTCAATCTTTGCTGTTAGATAAAGAAGAGAAAAAACATTTCCGAGCTTTGATGAAATCATCGGAAGACGTACAAGGAGCGAGTATCCTTTGAAGTCACAAATGTATATACATATATTTTTCTCTATACTAACAATAAACTATGAATTCATGCGAAAGCGAAATAAAGACGTAACATTTTTTGCTTATTTAAAGAAAAAATATGAAAAATCAGTTTAAGTAAAATCAAAGTTCTATTCTAAACGCATCTGTTATCAATTACACGCGCGCACACGTATATAAACGCATACGCTATGGTTACGTGTATAAATACATGTTGTTTGCTTTTCATTCGCATGAATCTATAAAAGAGGAGAAAGTGTTAGAAGAAAAAAAGGCGTTTGTATCTTGTTAACGGTAAGAACGGGTGCCTTTTCCATCGATGACAAATTGCAGTAGATGCCACATCGATGGAGTAGTGGTAGATTACGTCTCCTTCCTACGTTTCGTGATCGGTATTAATTAATGAGAAGCGGAAGAGAATTCCTAAGTATCAGAGTTAGCACAGTGAATATTTTATTATCACTTCTAAAGCATTACTTATTGTACTAACGTGAAAGTAACTTAGCGTTTTAACATTTGGAAATATCGCGAGTCATCGTATTATTAAATCTAATATAATCGTCCAATTAAAAATGCTTAAAAATTATTTAACTTAGGAAAAATGCATGGTATCAAATTGAATTATCGCAAACAATAATCAATAGCAATTGATATTCTAACTAAAATAATTTTGGTGATAAGCAGACACTATAGAAAACAATATTAAAATGTTTACATAATTTTATACGTGATGAATTTATTAAGTATTAGTCATGTGCAAACAGAAGTATAGTAATTAGTCAGTAATATGTTAAGGTTAATTTTCAAGTTATTATACAAGCCGGTACTTCTCCGATCGTTTCTTTTCCATTTTTCCGTACGGTTATCGAACTTGGCACGGATACGATAAGCACTACGATGGGTTGCAACGATGCTACCAACTATTCATTCAAGACTGGCAAATAATATGATATCTAGACAACAACCAGCTAGTAGTTGTTGCCTGACAATATCATTTATGGTCGCTTACGCAACTATCTTATGCTCGTAGTACTTTCTCCTTAAGCATGCCGGTGGAAGTATTGTCCTCGAACAATCGAGAGAGACAGAGAAATAAGGATAGAAAAGAGATAGAAAATATTAAATCTTAAAAAAGAAGAGACCACTTTTTTTTTTATGCATTTCGTGCTCAAAATGCTCTTTTTCTAAAGTACATTCAAGAAATCTAATTTTTGGGGATTTTATAAAAAAAAATTGTAATAAAAAATATATAGTTTTAATTATTTGTTTTCGTACTTTTAATACAATAATTAATCAGTGTATATGATTCTTTTATTTATAATTGGTATGCGTAAATACGTGTCAGTATCAAATTATAATTTGTTATTTAATCAAGTTGTGTTGTAGGATTACGTTAGGATTACGTCAGTTTACTGACAGCTTTTTTAATACTGGCTATTTATAAGCGGGTTTAGAATGAAATGTTTTATATCTGCATTCTATTGAAAATAAAATTTGTATTTAATGTGCTCTTAGAATGATTTTCAATAAAATGCATGTATAAAACATTTCGTTCTAAAACCTAGTTCTTCTTTATCTATCTTCCGATACGATAAAGAAGAACTTGGAGTATTTGAGGAATTGTTAAAATCATTAAATGTAGATTAATTGACTTTAAACGTGTATATGCAATAGAATTTATTCATAAACAAGACTACTGAATACGACATATAAACATTAGCTTGGTGCCAGAATAATTATAGTTTGAACTATTTAGTGCAGTTCCCATTGGAGAGTTGGAAGTTATCACAACCGAAAAGTGTTGACTTAACTATCCAATCAAAAGAATGAAATTTCATGCTTATGGGGAGAACGTTGGAAAGAAAATAGAAAGGATAAAATTCTCATGGAAATGAAGAGAAATCGTATCTGAAATCGTATCTGAAATCGTATCTGAAATAGAATATGAAATCGACGCTAGCGATCGATCATGGAGTGTGCCGTTGGAAACGATCGGGCTCGAAAAAAAGACAATTAAATTCCGAGCATTAATGTATCTCCATTAATGATACATGGGTGGAATCCTGGTGTGTCTACGCCTACGTAAACGTCACTCGTCGGTATAATAAAGAATCATTATGTGAACGCTCGCTTGGCACATGCAGGAGGAGACAGCAGCACGCGATATTCAGCCGAGCACGTGCCGAGATCATCTTTCTTTTACTTCATTTTATTTTTATTTATCCTTTTCTTTATCTTCTTATTTCATATCTTTAGCTTCCTCACAGCGGGATATCGTGAACGGAGAAAATTTCCATCCTTGGCACCGATCCAAAAGAGCGAAGAACAACGAATCGTCCATAGAATTTATATCGTGATCACCGTTTACGGTGATTAATTACGTCCGAATGGTCTTTCAAGATTGTGAGCTTAAAACTAGCACGAAATCATTCTTTAATCCGAGTGAAAATCTATGCTTCTAAAATACACAATCTAACCATAGCAATCGGTTCAACTGTATAATAGCATTCAGTTAGTTGGAACTAATTAACGCACTCCTTGATATATATGCATGTATGTGTGTACGTATGTAGGTGTATTTAGATATATGTATGCGTATAACCGGTCGAGTTATTTTTCGAAGGGACTATTGGTGGTAACAAAAATCCTGGGAAGTGAGAGCGGTGAGATAAAAAACTAATCCCAAATCTTTATTACTGGTGTAAAAGGTAAATTCCACCAATAGAGTACATAGGATCTAGTGCTCAGATCACGATGCGCATAAATTATCTACCGTTAATTGCGGAAAGCAATCATTTTTGAAGAAAATCTTTTTATAAATTTGATTATCGATTGTATATTACACAGAATCGTTGTTGATTAATAATTTATAATTCAAACATATCCCAGAACCACACACACACACACCTAATTGTATTTGAATTAATTCCAAATAAATAAAAATCAAAATCGAATAAAAATAATAATAAAAACTTACTTTTTCTCATCGTCATCTTGATTGACGACAAAGGAGGCCATCGACTCCTCGAGGGAGAGTCTCTGCCTTGGTCTTGATTGCAAGGTCGCTTCCACCCTAAAGAGACCGGAAACGTAGTCGGTGGGTTTCTTGTGCTCCGGTACTGGAACTGATAAGGATAGAAAAAAAATGTTGAGTCGAGCGCAAAGTCAGTTCGTCAAAGAGGAAAAGAAAGAAGAAGGTCTTTGTTCGCGCGCTTGCTCCCTTTGTTCGTTCGGTGTTTCACGCTTCAGGAGTTTCCGCGTGCGTACCGCATAGAAGCCGTAATACCTCAGGGACTGTTGCATCTATTACTATCACGAATTAGAAAGAGTTAGAGGGGGGAAAGAGACAAAGCAAGAAAGAGCAATGGCGTGTAATTGAATAACGCGACCGGGGTCGTTGATTCGTTTAACGCTTATTAAAATAAAGGGTCGTCGCTCTGGTGCTATACTAATACTACACGTCATTTAAACCTCCTCCGATTCCCCCCTTTAATTCTATTTCTCTTCTCTTTCTTGCTCCAACGCGTAGTACACGTGTATGAGGATTAATCAATTAGGTCAAGTTATGCAGAAAACTTCCTACGCTCAAAATAATTTATTATAGAGTATGATGCACAGATTACTGTGATTTTGATGTTACTTATAAAAAAAAACAAATATGCTTGTCCTAAAAAAAAGAAAGTTTTCCATTTCAAAAATGATTGCTTGACGTAATTAAAAAATCTGTAAGAAAATGATGTAAATATAATAAAAGAAGTTAAAAACTCTTCGCGATAAATGTAAAACTATACGCATAAGTGGATTATATGCAACGAGGCTGAACAAAGGATATTACGAGTCCACCCCATAGAATAATCGGCTTAACTTCGCAAGATTTAAATGATTAAGAATAAATGAATAATATCTGGAAATAATGTTTACCTAGAATAGGGACCAATTTGTCGTTTGGATTGAGTTGACTGGCAAGATCTCTGCTGAGTTCTTCGCACTCGATCTCCTCCGGTAATTTTTTTCTAGGTTCCGGTATAAGAGGTTCCTCCTGTTTGACAACATTCTGTTCTGCGGTTTGTTCCATGAGATCGGTCTGTGATGCCGCGTCACTGGTAGCCGCGTTAACTCTGAGTACGACTTCGGTACGTTGTACCAAAGTCAAGCCTTCGATACCGGGTTGAGGAGAGACGCAAGGTGAAATAGTCGTTGAGAATGATTTTTTATCCTGTTCGTCAACAGGTGAATTCCTTGGCGAGGAAGATGCTGAGGATTTGGATACACTTGAGATCGAAGAAGACGGCGACGACGACGACGACGACGACGACGACGACGACGATGACGACGACGACGACGATGATGATGATGAAGATGAAGATGACGAAGAAGATAATGAAGAAGAATTCGAAGAGAATCTACTTCCCGTCGATCTCGACTTCAAACTACTGGACGATCTCTCTGTCCTTTCTGTTTTAGGATTCTCCGACTCTTTCGTTTGGCACGAACGCTGATTCGATTGTTGACCAGAAGAATTGGATCCGTTCCAAGAAACTGTGCTGTCCGTTTGAGTTGGACTCGATACTTTCCTTTGATCATTGGTGATTTCTTCTCTCGTTGGGGAATTTGGTGTACTCTTAGTTGGAGTCTGATAGGTCATGATTCGAGGAGACGATGTGGTATCATTTGATCTACAGGAAGAGGAGGAGCTCGAGCAGCTTCCGGATCTTCGTGGGACTGCTCCTCTCAAGCTTTCTCTTTCTGGTGATCTTGGTGGTGAACTGCTCGGTGGTGGCGGTTTGTCATGATGAGACATCGATTCTACAGCCTTCTGGGCTAAGACATTTTCCTGTCCTCTCGACCAGCAATTACCGGTCATGCTTGTAATCGTAGTTGTCGTCGAGGAGGTTGTTGTGCTTACCGTGTACGAGCACACCGTACCGGTTGACGTACTTCCTCCACTTGATGATCGTTTCTCATTCCTACGGTTCAGTAGCTCAATATTTTGCGAGGTCATCTCGATCGTTGCACTTCTTTCGCGGAAGAGATCTTCACCGACACTTGCTTGACTACCATTGTCCGCATTACAAAGCTGTTTCTAAGTAAACAAAATAAATGCACATTCTTTCATAATGTTTAACTTTCAGAAATACAGTATTGGTAATTATTAAGTAATCATATCGAAACGAGAAAAACTCTTCATATGTTTCTAGACAATTGCACGAACTTTTCAGAAAAATCAATAAAATGAATAATAACTTACCTCTTTGTTTTCTGACAAGGGTTCGCAACTGGCAGCTAATTTTCGACGTTCCCGTTCCAATTGTCTGTTCCTATCATTGAGAACCTCGACGCTTTGCGGAGACAATCGTTCTCTTCGTTGCTCGTAATCGTGCCTCTTTTCTTGATATCTTTTTTCTTGATAATGATGGTAATGACGATGATGATGATGTCGATCTTCTAGATTGTCATTGTTGTTGTTCTCACTGTTACGCGTTCTAGCGTCAGCAATTTGAAGTTTCTTATTTAGTTCATGAGATAATTTTCCGATCGATTCAACGGAGTGTTGGTGTTGAACTGTAGTTTCCTCCAATCGATGATGAAGAGCATCGACGCTATGAGATTTGGTAAGTTCGTGCGATTGCTGTTGTTGTTGTTGTTGTTGTTGCTGCTGCTGCTGCTGTTGATGACTATTATGATGATGGTGATGATGGTGCTGTAACTGATGGTGCGGCGTGACACGCAATAAAACAGGATCATCGTGGTCCCTCGGAGGTGGCCAATCTTCTAGACGAGAAGTAGGAGACATTGTTCTCTTGTAACTGCCTTCACTATCAGGGGCTCCACGTTCTCTTCTGTACGCCAAGTAAGAAGCCTTTGATTGGCTTCTGAAAAAAGAAACGAAAAAATCCGATTAGTTAAGATTTTCCTTGCAGATTCGAATGTCTTTCGGTTTTATTTGACTTATCGAAAAATTCTGATCACTTATTTTAATGGATCTTTTAATATTAACTGTCCAATCACGTTTTTAGTAAGCGGCTGTTGCCTTTGATTTCTTCTGTAATCCGGAATGCAGCGACGTGCTCTGAGAATAAGATTTTCGTTCCTAAAACACAATTCCTATGTTCGTTCACGTAATCCAGAAACACGCGTTTACTGTGAGCATTTAAATAAATACATTTTCAATTGCTTTTGACTATAAATTCAGATAACAAAAAATTACTATCATTGACATAATAATTGTATATTTTGATAGATATAATTTTAGCAATGAAATATTTCAATGAAAATGCTGATTACATGTGCATTAATTTTCTACGGTATAATTGAATGTTAACAAAATTCTCGAGGTATTAACAGAAAGAAAACAATGCAATCTCTGATGAGAATTCGAAAATAAAAGGAAACCATTGTGTCTGATGTGAAGTTTGTGCAACAATAGAAATGAATCTTCGATGATTAATCGTTTGACCGTATTGATTAATGGTCGATCGAACCGGTAATATAAATCCGTGAGAGACTTCAGGGTCTTAACATCGACAACCGTATTAAGATGAAAAGGAGGTTTAATCGGTACCGGATATGGGCTAGCGTTGCCGCTAGAATTTTAATTCGTCAGGTTCTTCTATTCGACGTTCCCACAGATGCTTTTCCGTCTTCCGAAACGGGACATGAAACTTTCTGTAGTACACGCACAGACCATAATAACATTTATAGTAATAAAATGCATAATGTGTAGGGGGGAGATGGGACTAAGTTGATACTGTATTAATGTTTATTTATTTTAACAGGTAGATATATTTATCTCTTTCATTTAATGCGCTGTGAACTGAAAAAGTTTAGAAATCACGAACAAAGGCTCTATACGATCTTGTTAACACCGATATTTTGGAAGATTCATAAATTGCTAGAATAATTGGAAGAAGATTGGAAACAGACACTGCTTTAAATATAAAAACCATTATTACTTAGGAAAGTATAATATTTTGATTAGGCGTTTAGCAATAAAAGTAAACTGATAAATTGTAAATGCAGCAGGACCGGATCGTTGCTGCTGGAATTAAACGTTATATTTTTTGTACGTTTGCATAAGGAATGCAGGACGATCATCCATCGTGCATATGAACGAGATCAAGAAGCCGTGTAAAATTTCTACGCTTGCAAGCAACGTCCGCTTCTTAAAAGCAAACCTTCTTTCAGTGTAATCGTCCAGGCGAAACGAATACTTGCTATGCACGTATCCTCTCCAAGATTTATTATTTCTGTTCGTTTGATAAGATGAGATAAGAAGGAGTAAAACAAAAAAACATATTCAATTATTTTTTCGATCTAACTTGACGTTTTAATGATTTAGCATTTGCTATTAATTTCCTTTTTAGATATAATAACTTATCCGATGGTACGTGAGTCTCAATGCGAGGGCTTCGAGAATTCAACTTTCCATTTAGGGGTGGTTTAAGTCGTTTGAGATTATTTCTCAATTTATTAAAACAACAGATACTCGAATAGTTCTGCTATTTTTCTCCGACTATATCCTTCTTTTTCCAATCCTTTTTTCTGTCCTATTCAACAAACATCCACTAAAACTAATGGATTCATTTTTAACTGATAATAAAGAATGATCGAACGTATAATCTGTCGTAATTATCATTCGTCACGGACAGCTACTTTCGTTCCTCTTAATAACTTCTCTTTTTATAAAAGCTGACTTCTTTAACGATCTCGTCTATTATTATTTTTTCTTTTATTTTCAATCAGCTGTCCCGTTCCGTCCCCCGTAACGATACGTTCCACTTTCGTACTCTTTCGATGTACGAAAGTATTCTTCCATATACGCGTACGAGACTTTAATGTTCTTACAATCCTTCTTCTCTCTTTCCCATTGATTCGTTGAATGTTCAAGAAAGTTTCTTAGGAAGGAAGGACGAAAGTAAAATTCGCGTCCGGATTCTAATCACGCGAAGAGGTCGAGACGTGAAATCGTGTCGGGCGGTGGTTCTACCTTCTTTGCAACATTTAACTACATACGTATACATGCATGCATGCATGTTTACATGAGTACACGCATACATACGTAGATATATTCCTTTTCTTATCGGCAAACTGGAAGAACCGTTGTTACACGTGCTCCAGAGAAAATCTATTCAAGACACGTCGGAACACGCGTAGCCTTTGAGAGACCGTGATATCGTTCTTCGATGATTCCGTCAATTACCGGTAAACTGGATAACGAAAAAAGACAAAATAACGCGTCACCGGGTATATATGGTCCGATATTCTACTAACGGCTCCGAAAGTAAGTAACAATAAATTTTTCAGATGCTACGACGATAAAGTCTTATTCATTTCCTTGCGCAATAACTTCTGCGAAACTTTACCCCAATTTAGTATACTAGGTGTATAAAGGAAATTTATGGTAAACTTCGTAAGATTAATTTGCAGATAACAAAGATAATAAATACTTATCGCTTGAAATTTATAATCTTTCGATAAAAGTGAACGAAGATCCCCAAGTCCATCTTCGTGGAAGTTTTCACATTTATAGAAAAAAATTCATTTTTCATTTCTTACAATAGAAAATAAGAAGACATTTGATATAATTAATTGACGATAACATTTCTTCAATATTCAAGTTTGATGTAATGATAAAAATGAACGTTCGGAAAGGAAGGAGAATTACATGGAACGGGAAGAAAGTGAACCTAATGTTCACGATAATAATCTCTCTAAAGAATACTTTATGTAATAAACTTCATTGTTATGCAATGGGAGTATGCACGACACTGGTGTATATCTATAATTTAATAAGTACATAGAATTATGTAATGGAATGGTGGTTAAAGGTAAAAAATATCAACCATAAGAGACCACACAGGAGCGTTTCCTGTTTTAATGTATATACTCGATATAATAATCTTCACGAGACACGATCGACATTCTAATATTTTAAAAAGTATGTCATAAAAAGAAAAAGAGAAAAGCATAAAATTTTCTCTCTTTCGTTTGTTTTATTTTTCTTTTGAACTTCATTTACGATTAACACGAGTGTATGATCGAATCTTAACGAGAGAGAACATTAAACATAAATTTAATTGAAATTTCTGTTCACATGAGGATTATCGTTTCATTCGATCGAAAAATAATATAAAAAAAATATGAAATATGCATAAACGAAAGAGTGGGAGAACGATTGGTATAATTTATGGGTAAATTGAACATTGCTCCATTCCTCCGACCGGTAGCAAAAGCATGTTTCAAATACATCATCATAATCGATGAGCATATCGCTGAATTCATATTATAGTGTGTTCTTTCGAGTCTATCGTATACCGAAAACTTTTATATACCGGATAACTGTCAGGTGCTTATCGATATTATTACAATCAGACCGGAGAAATCGATAACAGCTATACGTGTATGTACGTTTGTGTTAGTGCGTTTCTCTCTCTTTCTTTTACTTTTGGAGGACACGTATTTTAATCTTTCGTTCTGTATCAAAAACATTAGTACACGAGTGCTTGCGAGCCCGATAAGACCCACCTTTTTTTCACTAAATTCTTTCAATGTTAATATTATACTGGCTGTCCGCGCGAAAAAATGCTTTGCAAAGGTAAACGAAAAATAATTTGGCTGAGCAAGGAATTTTGTTCTTAGCAAATTGTGCTTATGCATTAGTTTGCTACGAAAGGTAAATACCTGTCGAAAGAATAATTTATCATTTTTTCAGTTTAATAAAGTTCGTCACAACCGATCGATAAGAATTATGGCTTTCGAGGGAACTTTGAAGTAATTGTCAGACTCGAAACTAAATCAAACTAACTTCGATGATATTTCTCTCTAATGAGTGGATATCATTTTATTAGGAAAAATATATTAATATCGCGATATCTAGATACTCTTAAATAGACGCCTAGAACGTTAGGTTAATCTGATAAATTCGATTTATCTTGCATTCGAAAGTATACTATTGGATACTTAGAAAGAGAAAGATTTGGATCTTGAAGAGTCTCGAAACGTTACGCCTACGGTTCGTGTAATAAGATAATTACAATAACGAAGTAATTACCAAATGAATTAGAGTTCAAACGATTTCAAAGAGAGATAGATCTGGAAGGAAGGAAAATTAAGCGGTTGCGAATAGATCGGAGCCATAAAGATCAACGAATACAGAGTATCATCTACTCGTATACAGGGTGTACTAAGCGGTCATAAATTAACTCTTTATATCACCTGTTAATAAGATCAAGTAGGCAAGATAGCTTAAACGATTTAATGTTGAAAAATGTTTTACCGAATAGTTATAACCGTTCAAAGGCTTCATTGTTTATGGTACATAAAGAATGTAATTGGAGCTAATTAAAATTGTGTTATCCGGTCACCCTGTATGTACGTCCATTAGACTTCGATTACAAGAATAGATAAATATCTTTCTCTTTCTTAGATTCTTTTTGTAGGTTCTCTTGGTTGAACCGACAACACGTTTAGGTAGGTACATCGATACGTCTGGACGTTGGTATCGAGTACTCTCATTAGGACAGACAGACCTACGATGGGTGGACATCGGTAAACCGAGAAAGACGATCGGTCATTACGACACCTTGGTAATTAACTCCGATCGAGTTCGACAATCCTATCTTCTTGTAGATATGATTTAAGAAGAAGTAGAAGACCGAAGAGGATACCGGTTACACGAACGTTCACTTTTTCTTTTCGATATTCATCTTTGAAAAGGAAGTAGTCTTTTACTCTGCTAGCGACGAATATTAATTTCTTTCTAGCAAAATCCAGACAGAAGGAAACTTCGCGTCGCATAAAGATCCCGTTGTATTCAGTGATTGATGATCGGATAAGAGTTATATTCGTTTGATTTGAAATGACAAGAGAGAAA